GGCGGGCTGCACACGCCGGCGGCGCGCCGCGGCCAATCGGCGCCCGCTGCCCCGCCCCCCAGCCAATCGGCGCACGTCTCGCGCCCCCGCCCCAGACCCCGACCAATCGGCGCTCGCGTCCAAACCCGTGCCCGCTCGCGGCCCGGCAGCGGCGGACCTGAGCTCGGGCCGGGAGGCGGCAGGAGGCGGCGGAGGCGGCGACCGGAGAGTAGCGTCAGGGCCTCCGCCTCTCTCCAGGGACCAGACCGGTGGCCGAGGCAGCTGCTGGACAGCGGCTCCCAGGAGTTCGAGCGCTGCGACTCCCGAGCGCCGGGTAGAACGCAGAGCGGAACTGGCCGTAGCCGACGGGACGGCGCTCAGAGGTGGTTGGTTCTCTCCCGGGCGCCGTAGGCATCAGGTGACCGGGTTCCTGCGGAGTCACGTGACTTCGGGGTCGCCCGGCCGGGACATGGCAGCCCCCAGGCCGCTGTCCCGCTTCTGGGAGTGGGGAAAGAACATCGTGTGCGTGGGCAGGAACTACGCGGAGCACGCCAGGGAGATGCAGAGCGCCGTGCCGAGCGAGCCGGTGCTCTTCCTGAAGCCGTCCACCGCCTACGCCCCCGAGGGCTCGGCCATCCTCATGCCGGCCTACAGCCGCAACCTGCACCACGAGCTCGAGCTGGGCGTGGTAATGGGCAGGCGCGGCCGCGCGGTGCCCGAGGCCGCGGCCATGGACTACGTGGCCGGCTATGCCCTGTGCCTGGACATGACCGCCAGAGACGTGCAGGACGAGTGCAAGAAGAAGGGGCTGCCCTGGACCCTCGCCAAGAGCTTCACGGCGTCCTGCCCCGTCAGCGCGTTCGTGCCCAAAGAGAAGATCCCCGACCCTCACAACCTGAAGCTCTGGCTCAAGGTCAACGGCGAACTAAGGCAGGAGGGTGACACGTCCTCCATGATCTTTTCCATCCCCTACATTATCAGCTACGTTTCTAAGATAATGACCTTGGAAGAAGGAGATATTATCTTGACCGGGACGCCAAAGGGAGTCGGACCCGTTAAAGAAAACGATGAGATCCAGGCCGGCATACACGGGGTCGTCAGTATGACATTTAAGGTCGAAAGGCCAGAGTACTGAGTCTGTACAAAGCACCCGGACTTCATAAGTTTCAGGAGAGAAGGGAGGTGGACAGAAGCAGCAAGCAAAATTGTTAAATGCAACGATGCTTTAATAAGAAATAATTTTTAAATGTGACTTAATTGGGTTGTTATGACTTAAGGAAGACGGACTCTTCCAGGAAAACGTGATCGAAAAGCTGGGCCAGAAATGGAAAGAACGATTGTCTTTTAGGAAAAAAAACAGAAACAAAAAACAAAGTTCGCGTGAAGCTTCCAAAGAGGAGAATTTATCAAACTAAATGTTCAGAGGCCTTACTTTCCTTTCCTAAAACCAGACTGGATACGACTTTTCCGTGAGTCATTCTGGGATCAGGAATTCAACTGAAAATCTGCAAAGGAAGTTGAAAATCATGTTTTCTAAAATTCCTTGATCACGATAACCATCTGGAGGTATTGTAAAAATAAAAAATTCCCACCTTACTGACACATACCAGGCCCACCATATTAATTGGCAGAATTAATCTCCAGCATTCCAAGTGATTCTTATCACGGAACTGGGGAAAACCACTGCTCCACATAATCAGTTAATTTAAGATTGTAATAAGTGACCAATTAATGATGACCTCACCCATCTGTGCCATGGCCCCTAGATTCTGAATTTGGGAGATAATTTTGAAATGATTATTTTCCAAATAAATATGCTATCTTTTGTTTGGCCTTAGAGTGTACTTTTTCTCCTCCAGTAGTGGCTAGGAAGGACGCTTTCGCATGAAGGGACTTCAAACCTTGATCATTGCTCTTTGGCCTCTGGAGCACTGTGCTCTACTAACAGAGTTAATCAGCAGCTCCACCTCCAGCCAGACACAGGAGGCTTCGGGGAAGTTGAATGGCCTGGGAGAGCTACTCTTGTTCTTGCCTGCCCTCCTGGGACGGAGAGTCTCGGCAAGACGCACAGTGCCAGCGTCCGCCGGCCCCTCCCAGAAAGCTGAGGACATCTCATTTAATAATAGCTCACATTTATTGAACCCTTAGTACTGCTAGGCACCGTGCCAAGAGCTTTCCGCGTATTACTGAACCCTCAGCAAAGCTGTGAGATTGCTCTGCCTGCCGTCCCTATCGCACAGGAAGATGGGGATTCAGAGGCTAGCCGGCCTGGCTCCACAGTCACTCAGCTGAGGGAGAGAGCCGTGCTCTAACCCAGCTTTCCTAAGACCAGAACTTGAAGTCTTGACCACAAGGCAGGCTGCATCTTGTAAGCAGATCTACAAGAAGACTCAGACGTTTAGGTATTACACAACCCCCACATTTAATTCCACACTTACTGTGAGGTGCCGGGATTGGACTTGTTTACTAAATGTCACGCTATCTTAACTTCTTTTCTAATCAGGTTTCTTACTGTAACTGCTTAAGCAGTATACGCTTATTACAGAAGAGGTAGGGAACATGAATAAGCAAAACACCCAAAATTTCTTTCACCCAGAGCCAGCTACAGTGAAGCATGTAGTCTACCTTCTTCCAAACCTGTGGATGACATTGTAATTTTTAATTTTTTTAAACATTTATTTATTTTTAAGAGACAGGGCGAGACAGAGCACAAGCAGGGGAGGGGCAGACACAATCCAAAAGCAGGCTCCAGGCTCCGAGCTGTCAGCACAGAGCCCAACATGGGGCTCGAACTCACAGACTGCTAGATCGTGACCTGAGCCAAAGTCAACCGACTGCGCCAGCCAGGCGCCCCTGTGATTTTTTTTTTTAATTTTTTTTTTAACGTTTATTTATTTTTGGGACAGAGAGAGACAGAGCATGAACGGGGGAGGGGCAGAGAGGGAGGGAGACACAGAATCGGAAACAGGCTCCAGGCTCTGAGACATCAGCCCAGAGCCTGACGCGGGGCTCGAACCCACGGACCGCGAGATCATGACCCGAGCTGAAGTCGGACGCCCAACCAACTGCGCCACCCAGGCGCCCCAGCCCCTGTAATTTTTTAAAAGAAGATCTGCTCATAACACAGTTTTCTAACCTGTTTTTCTCACCGTACATCGTGACTGTGCTGTGTCGGTTGGCACATTTCTGCAGTCCTGATTTCAGTGACCGCGTAAGACTCTCAAGTCCGTCCCCCCATTGTTGGCAATTGAAATCGTTTCTCATTACTAGCTAGTAGAGTGAGCACGTTTGCAGTTATTTCATCCGGCTGGTTCTCCTAAGGGGAAGAGCTGACTCAAGGGCCCGCTGGTATTGAAAGTGTGTCAGTCTAACTAGGTTAGGATACAAGGTTCAACTGAGACGGGTCCATCGAGCTGACAGACCTTCAAAGCCAAAAGGTAGGAGGCAGGAGCAGTGCTCACATGCAGCGCCCAGTGGCACAAGCCAGCTCCCAGGGAGCGCAGGGTGCCCCTGAGGTCAGCGTCCACCGCAGTGGTGGCATGGGCTTTGTCACAAACGGCTGACAACAGCATTGCACGTATAGCACAGAAAGTCCTTGGCTGGGAGAATAAAACACGGAGAGACACCAATTCCCACAATTCCTGCTCTTGCTAAAATCACTGTAAGCCCAGGAGGCATATTCCCCCCAACTTTTTATTTTGAATAAACTAAACCTACCAAAAAGTTGAAAGACTAATACAATGAGCTCCGTACACCCTTCGTTAGATTCGGTAATTGTCAATATTGGCTGTTTGCTCTCCCCCTCTGCCTCCACACAGACATATGCCCAAGCGCACTTGCGTTGGAAAACTGCAAACGGCAGAAACCCTCTACCCTTCCAGTGCGCATCTCGTACGGACAGGGACCTTCTACACACAATACCGTCAGCACCCTGAAGGGAACAATCCCATGCGGTAGTAGTTCCTGTAGAACCTATGGTTCACGTTTGTTCTTTTGCGCTTTTTCTTGAATGTTTCTTGAGCTTTTATAAAAAATGAATACTCTACATCACTTGATAGACTATGAAACATCATTCCAGGTCAGTGAATACAGATTTCGTAATCCCTTTCTATGGCTGGTACTATGGCAGAGCTGAGTGGGATTCTTGTTCAGGTGACTTATTGAAGGACCACCCTCAGGAGAAAACTCAAGAGGAACCACAAAAGGCAGAGAGCAAACTAAGAAAGAACGTGGTGGGCTCGGAGCTAGAGGCGAGCTTCAGTGCACTGGCCGTCCCAAGGGGAAGTCACTGCTGGGACCTGCCCCCACCCTTCCCATGACTTCCCCAGGTGGTTCTCCACCTCCCAGGGAAGCTGAGGGTTGGAGATGTCTACCTGGACGTGAAGGGACCTGGCTGAGGCCCGACGGCCCAGCAGGCTGCACATGTTTCAAATGTTTTGTTATTGGAAACACAGTACTTGAGTAAATCGGATACTATAGGTAAAGTGTTTGTTACAATATGTCACGTAGAATGCACTCGATAATGTCAGCTATTGGTATTATTGTAGCAATTTAATGTCCAGAAACTCATCCCAAGGAAATAAGAATGTGGACACTTAGCTATAGCTGGTGTTTACAACAGCAAAAGCTGGGGAGCACCTAACATGTCTAGCAGTACTGGGGAGATGACACTCAGTACCCTACACTCCTGTGATGAGAGGATATGCGGCCATTGAAGTTGTGTCCAGTAGTAAGTGATCACAAAGTTCCCAGTGTGGAAGCAGATTATAATGTAACCTGCGTTTGCAAATTGTATGTTTTCACAAAGAAGGACAGATACGTGACAGGAAAGACATACAGGAAAATGAGAAGTGCTTGTACACGCACACCTGTAATAGCGCTGACTGGCTGACCACAAGAGCCAACGGTAGGAACAGCCCAAGCGTCCGTCGACAGATGAGCAGATTAGCCTCCCTTCCATCCACACGGCGGAAACTACTCAACCATAAAAAGGAATGAGACTGACACATGCTGTAACATAGGTGAACCGTGAAAACATGATGCTCAGAGAAAATGCCAGACACACAAGGTCACATAGTGTATGAAGCCCCTGGAAGAGGCAAGCTCACAGAGATGAGGTAGATTAGAGGTGCCCAGGGGCTGGGGGTGCAGAAATGGGAGTTCTAGTCTAATGGGGGCAGAGTTTCCGTTCGGGATGGTGACCACCATCTGGAAATGAATGGTGGTGACAGCAGCACAACATTGTGAATGTATTTAATGCCACTGAACTGTAAGCCTAAAAATGGCTAAAATGGTGAATGTTATGTGATGTATATTGTACCACAAAAAACAACAGCAAAAACACACACACAAGAAAAGAATGCATCACACACCAGGGAAAGACTTCGGGGGCAGGAGGTTAGGGCTTTCCCCGTTTGTTATCTAGTATTTTCTAATTTTTCTACAATAAACACGTCAAACTTTATAACAAAATATAGTTCAAAAGCAGAAACCACCCCAGGGTTCCTCAAGATGAGTGACAGACGGACACACAGACACCGTGTTTCTGCCACATGCACAGTATCAGGCAAATAAACTCACCGGCACAGCATTAGGAGAGGAAGATCTTCCCGAAATGAACCACTAGTGGATCAGGAAGAATCGTACAGCCGCCATGCGACTGTGGACAGCAAGAGCAAAGCTGCAGGTCCGAGGACGCAGAGACCAGGCAGACCAGCTCCTGGAGAGCAGCGGGGGATGCAGGTCCCGGACAAGGGCCTGTGTATTTTGTGGGACGGAGTAGCTTCTTTACCTGTTAGTGTGTGAATTCTGGCCAATCTACAACCAAACTTAGGTATCAACCAATTTGTCATCTTCATTTCATAAAGGTGTGAGTTACAGTTTGTGGCGCCCCTATGATTCGCTGTGGCCTGACCCCTGGCCCTATAGACTTCCTGTGTCATCAGGTGAAATAAAATGTCAATACTACCCAAAGCTATCTATGCATTCAATGCAATCCCCATCAAAATTGCACCAGCATTCTTCTCGAAGCTAGAACAAGCAGTCCTAAAATTTGTATTTTAGGCAGGAAACCATTTGTATTTTAGACAAGAAACCATCAAAACCCTAGAGGAGAAAGCAGGAAAAAACCTCTCTGACCTCAGCTGTGGCAATTTCTTACTTGACACATCTCCAAAGGCAAGGGAATTAAAAGCAAAAATGAATTACTGGGACCTCATGAAGATAAAAAGCTTCTGCACTCCAAAGGAAACAATCAACAAAACCAAAAGGCAACCGACAGAGTGGGAAAAGATATTTGCAAATGACATATCAGACAAAGGGCTAGTATCCAAAATCTATAAAGACCTCACCAAACTCCACACCCGAAAAACAAATAATCCAGTGAAGAAGTGGGCAGAAAACATGAATAGACACTTCCTTCTCTAAAGAAGATATCCAGATGGCCAACAGGCACATGAAAAGATGCTCAACGTCCCTCCTCATCAGGGAAATACAAATCAAAACCACACTGAGATATCACCTCACGCCAGTCAGAGTGGCTAAAAGGAACAAATCGGGAGACTACAGATGCTGGAGAGGATGTGGAGAAACGGGAACCCTCTTGCACTGTTGGTGGGAATTCAGACTGGTGCAGTGGCTCTGGAAAACAGGGTGGAGGTTCCTCAAAAAATTAAAAATAGATCTACCCTATGACCTAGTGATAGCAGTGCTAGGAAGTGACCCAAGGGACACAGGAGTACTGATGCAGAGGGGCACTTGTACCCCAATGTCTATAGCAGCACTTTCAACAATAGCCAAATTATGGAAAGAGCCTAAATGTCCATCAACTGATGAATGGATAAAGAAGTTGTGGTTTATGTGTACAATGGAATACTACGTGGCAATGAGAAAGAATGAAATCTGGCCATTTGTAGCAACGTGGATGGAACTGGAGAGTGTTCTGCCAAGTGCAATAAGTCATACAGAGAAAGACAGATACCGTATGTTTTCACTCTTATGTGGGTCCTGAGAAACTTAACAGAAGACCATGAGGGAGGGGAAGGAAAAAAAAAAAAAGTTAGAGAGGGAGGGAGCCAAACCATAAGAGATTCTTAAAAACTGAGAATAAACTGAGGGTTGATGGGGGCGGGGAGGGTAGGTGGTGGGTATTGAGGAGGACACCTGTTGGGATGAGTACTGGGTGTTGCATGGAAACCAATTTGACAATAAATTTCATATTAAAATAAATACACAAATAAAAATTTAAAAAAGAAATGCACAGTCAGGGCATCCCTCCGGTGACAGGTACGGGGTCTTCTTAAGTAAATGCTGGTGGACTCACAGGTCACCAAGGCAGCTGCGCGGAGGCCATTCAGAGCCCTCTGCCACCTTGCTAGGGTCCTCAGGCTGCGGCTAGAGAACACGGAGTGTGAAACACAGCCCAATTTCAGAATGCCCGCGTTAGGCGTCTGTATTAGGCTGCTGACGCCAGTGGCAAAGCAGCCAGAGCAGCTGAGGCCCATGGACCGTAAGAGCCCACACCTGGTCCTGGCACCTGTGGTCCAGGCCTTGGTCTTGGGGACCCGCTGCTAGAGGTCAGGGCACCAGGGGGCCGGGCACGGCAGTTCGTGACACGCCATCAGGGCCCGGTGTCCTGCCTCGTCTCCTGGGCTCCTGGACACCCACTCTTGCTTAACCAACAGAGAGAGTGAATGTGGACACCAGGCGGGCACCCTCAACTTCCCTCTCCTCCCCACCCTGAACCTGCCCGCTCCAATGGGAAGGGCATGACCCCCCCCCCCACCGCCACCCTCCTCCTTCCTTCCCTGCCTGTCGTCTGGATGGACCCCTGTACCCTGCTTCATCGGGCACACTCCCTGCCTGCCCGACTCGGGCAAGTCCTCCATCATCTTGTTTCTTACCACGGTCTGGACACACCAGGTCCACCCACGGCTGCCCATGGTAAAAGCAAACACCACGCTGCTGACAAGTTTATGTCCCAACACCTGCTCTCTAAGAGTTTCATATACTTACCTTTTGTTTTTCACTCCGGGCGTGGGGGACGGAAAGGCCAAACCTCCCAGACTGCGGGCCAGTGTTGACTGTGCTGGTGGGTCTATGCAGCAAGTGTGGAACGGCTGGGGCTGAGCAGGACGCCCCGGGGCTTTGAGCAGGACAGCCGGGGTGGGGGCGGCGTCCTGCCAGGACACCCTCATCCTTCCAGGCCCCAGGCTGGCGCCGCTCCTAAGAACTTCTGAGGCTGGTCTCCTCCCAGCTGAGTCGGGCTCACACCTGTCAGCCCTGAGTCAGCCAGCCTCCATAAGCGTTGAGCGGCTTCATGTGTCATCACAGGAGAGGATCAGAGAAGCTCTTGAGCGTTCAAAGCCGCTGCCCAGCACTGACCCCGGTTTCTACTGTTCCCGCCCCTCCCCAGCTCCTGGAGAGCAGTCAGCCCCTGCCAAGCTCCAGGGACATCATTTTCGGAAGTTCTGATCCTTCTCCATGGAAACAAGGCAAAGAGGAAAGGGGCTTAAAGAAATTATTCATATATACCAACAACGAAGCAACAGAGAAATCAAGGAATCGATCCCATTTACAACTGCACCAAAACCCATAAAACACCTAGGAATAAATCTAACCAAAGAGGTGAGAAATCTATACACCTAAAACTATAGAAAGCTTATGAAAGAAATTGAAGAAGGCACAAAAAAAAAATGGGAAAAGATTCCATGCTCCTGGATAGGAAGAATAAATATTGTTAAAATGTCAATACTAC